CAGGACCGGCTGCTCGATTAAAGTAACGTCTGAATAGAACCCCATGGGGTAAACTTACATTTTCATGCTCAGTCTGTTAGGACTACAAGTCTAATGAGTCTCCCTTGTCTTCAGGACCTCTGGGCGAACTGGAAGTTTGTGAACTGGAGCGACTAGATACTGGAAAGCGATTCTGGACAATCATAATTTGACCCTTGTGGCATTCCTCATTCCCCCTTCCTCCAAGCAAAAGGAAACTGCCCCAGACCTTCCTACTGCAGTTTCTTTGCCCGCACTCGGGCCAGCTCAGCGGCGGGCCCTGGGACACGAAAAAGGGGACTGAGGCACGGCTCCGCTCCTCGGCCTTGTGCGAGGCGGGAAGGAGCACCCTCCCCGCAGTCGTCTTTACCCCTTCGCTCCCCTGGGAGCTAACAGGCAGCACTTCACTGGTTTAGATGTTTTTCGTATTAATTTATTCTTCTAAACCCTGTATTTCTCTTAAAAGCACTCTTGCTCCATTTGCTCCACACCTACATCTCTTGGTGCAGTACAGGCGATTGCAGAGCACTGTTGTCCCGTCCTCTGTATGACTTCAACAGAGCTTTTGTTTTCTTTGCTCTTCGTTTATGAGATTTAGCAAAACACAAATGTTATTTCAATAATTCATCAAAGGCACCTAAGGAAGGACAATTAAGAATGATAGTTACTTTGGAAGGCCTCAAAAGAAAAGTACAATGTCTGCAAGTACAGCATATAATAGAAAATCGAGGAATATGAGTGATCTATGAAATCACCTGTGGCCTTCACATTTTTAATGGGAGTGGTGAGTAGTTTTTCTGTAAGGTCTCAACTACCGTTATTGTATGCAGAATGCCTACCTGCAGCCCAGTCCCACCAGCCCCTCAAGTGTCCACAAAATTTGGTTCTGATGTGGAGACGCCTCTGATTTTCGATAACTCCAAGCAGCTTTCCTTTTTTCCACTGATCTTTATCGTTTAGGTATGTTGCAGAGGTACAAAAGGGGCACAGGAGCAATGCTGTGCAGGTTTCTTTCTCAGTAGGTGAGAAAGCAGGCAGCTAGAGGAAAAGGTACATCCAGTCTGGAAGCTGGAGATTACCTGTCATGATGACAACTTCCATTTAGGAGGCAGCTGGAAGAAACCCAGAATGATGGACTGGAGCACTCCACCCAAAGCCAGTTTAGGGCTTGAGTCATATTTTGCACAGGAAAAGCAAAACTTATTATTCAAATAGATTGTCCTTGTCTTATTTTCTGTTTCTTCTACTAGCAAAGAAACACCTTTGCTCCCATTACCCACAGCTCAGCAGAGTGGGGAAGCTATCCCCAAAGGCATTCCAGACTTTCCTTCAGTTAGTTGCTTCCGAGCTCACTGACGATGAGGATGAAGCTATTGATAACTTGGTGGAATTTCTGACCACAAGAGTGGAACGCAGTCCCATGGAGTGCTTGCAAAGCTTAACCAGGAGGAAGTGGCTGCACAATATCCAGCAAGCAGCTGAGACCAGCGGAGCAAGCATGGAACCGGTTTACAAAGCAGTGTTTAAGGCTCTCTCCCAGGTACGCATCCCAGGGAGCACAAGAATCGTGTGTGTTGGGATTGTGCCACTGACTTCAAACCCTGGTGCATTTGAGCGGAACTCGCAGGTAGCATGGGAAGCTGGCCTGAGGATGGTTTCCTTGGGCTTTTCCGCACTTAGCCGACGTTCAGGAGAGCCAATGGTTATGCACAGAAAGAGTCACAGCTCAGATCTGCAATACAAGATTTCTCATGCACACTCTGCCAATACAGAATGCATTTCATGGATACTTAGGTCTCACTTTTTGAAGAGCTGACTTAGTTCAAATCTGGAAATCCATAGTTCTAGTTTTGGAGGTTCTGAAATGAAACACACCAGACTTAGTTTGGGACAAAGCTGGTTAATTTGTAGTGGAGATGATAGTTTCATTTTCAACTTGCAGCTGCAACTTTAGATGTTTGTCTTCACTATTTAAGCCCTCCTCAAAACCAAACTTCTCTCATGGTAGCCAAAATGTTCTTACAATATTGTCTAGATTTGTAATAGCAACTCTGGCACTTTTTTGTCTGATTGTTCCAAAGGAGTCTCCTATTGGAAAAGAAATCCATGAGAGTTTTGGTTAGGCACAGGTTATAATTAGGGATTATTTTTATGTGAACTGCTCCCCGTTAGCAGCAGGAAAAAAGAAATCCATTTCCCTTGCCAATCAAAATACCAAGTGTTGTTGCTTGTAACAGAGCATACCAGTCAGACGGGATCACAGCATAGACACATACATGTCATGCAGTTGGTGCACGACGTACAAAATTAGTGACCCAGAACAGCATCCCAGCAAAAAATGAGACAAGTGCTAAGTACATGAAGTAAGTGTAATGGCCAATGGCTAATGTACATAATGTAATGGGAAACATTTGGTTGCTAGGATGCAGAAGCCCATGGGGATAACAAGAAGATCAGTGCATATATTGCCCTTTTGGAAGAGAACCAGCTCTCACCAGAGCGGGGACAGACTCTCCTACACTATGTGGCATGTACCACAGATGACGCTCCATATGTTCTGGACCAGATACTTTACAGAGACATGAAAGGAGTAAGGTAAGAAAAGCTGCAAATAGCTGTTCCTTTTTCTCAAAAATATTTGGAATGTAGGGGTACCAGGCAGTGTTTGGAGTGCACTGGAAACAGAGGTCGATAGAGTATTCCAGAGAGGAAATCTCCTCAGGGACCGTTGTGGAATGATTCATCATCATATACATGCCCTTACACTTTGCATGGTCTACTTAGAACTGCTTTGTTTGGGATTTCAGTCCTTTCCTTGGGGAGATTAGCTCACAGTCTAATAAATCTCATCCTTTAGCAAATGTCTATTACATTAGACCTACATTTTCTTCTTTAAAAATTAATTCCCTTACACCAGTTTACACCCACAGGATATTTTTTGAGAACAATGCCTTTCCTTCCCTAGTGTTTAGGCTATAAACAGATTTCATGCCTCTTTACTTCTCGTTTCCAAAAGCTAGACATATTTGTCTCTTTCCTTAAAGAGTGCGTCTTCTAACCTATTAAATGTAACTGCTGTTGCTTCTATATTCCTTTTCATTACATTCATTAGCTGATGTTTTTAAAATGTCCTAAGGATGAGAAGTGCCTTATTTATTACTGCTGTCTTTGGGATGCAAGCGGTAAATGTGGTATTTCTGGGTGTGGTCAGAGTAAGGAGCTAACACCTTCCTTCTTGGTTGCCAAAAAGCAGGGAGAGATCAAAGCTGCAGTATTTATTGTTTCACTAAAGGTTTTCTGTTACTTTTAACAAATCTGCTCATAAGTTTATTTTTCAGCTTTGCAGCTGTTGAAGAGGGAAAGCCACTCCACGTTCCAAGAGTTCAGCTCCATGGAAATATCCACTTCTGGAACTATGACCGCCCTGTGGATGAGAGAAAAGGTTCACTCCTGGTACTGCCGCTGCATGATGCTCGCTGGAGAGTCTTTGGCATTCTAGGACTTGACACTCTTCAGGACCAGTGTGAGAAAACCATCTTTCTGACCCATGAGATCAGCTTCTATCAGGTGGGCACCATCAGAAAGCAGCTTGTTAGACCACTCTTCAAAAAACTGTGTAGGGACCACGTGAATTTTACATGGTCGTTCTGAGGAAACGTAAGATGTACAACTAAGAAAAGAACTGTGGGTCCCTTTCTACTGTATATGGCAAAAGTGGTGTGAGCCAAACACCTTATCAATATCTTACTGATTAGCATCTTATCTGTAATTGATTATGAGGTATCACTTCACCAATAATTTATTTAAGCTTCTGATTAGTAAATTAATTGCACTTTTGTGCAAAGCTCGAAGATAGTACCTTTTGTTTCCTGAAGCTCTGAACCTCATATTTGTGTTTGTTTCCCTAAAGTGGCATGAAACCTTACTTTTTACATGGTGGAATAACTATAAGCCACAGCAGCTGGGATTTCTTTGGGATGCTCTTGGGAACCGGGCTCATTGTGGATGCAGCATCTGAGCAGCAGGGAGCGCAGCAAGCCAGCATTACCGGTCAATTTGGCTATCTCCGCTAAAACCCGGCTTTGTCTAGTTTAGGACTTGGCTGGGACCCGGGTACTCCGGAGCTTTAGAGCTTTATTTGATAAGGGACAATTCTCAGTCACTTTTCAGCTTTACAAGTGCTGATTAAAGTAACTTGTTACAAACATTTTACTGCATGAAAGTTTCCCCAGCTTTTTTCCCCAAATCATATGGAACTGTCTGGCTCATTTGGAGGATTCTGCTTTCACAGGGAGTTTCTCATGCATTCAGCAAAGCCTACCACCACATCTGCACACTGGAAAATGTTCTACAAATGACTGTTACTGCTCTGGAGTGGTTGTATCCCAGGGCACCCAGCATCCACACTGTTATTGCGTACCTGGTGGAGCCTGGCAAAGACAAGGTAGGCAGATTACTGCAGTGAAAAGGCCTCTAATGGTCAGGGGCTGAAAGGGTGCTTTAGCGAGGATGTGCCATTTCTAGCTGCCTGTGATTTCCCAGTGGTTTGATCACAAAAACTGAAGCCTGCCTGAGATTCTTGTGCCTGCCTGTGCCATGAAAGGGTTACAAAGGTAGAGAGGGAACTTTCCCTCTGTAAAGGAGGCCACTCCATTCTTTTCATCCTCCCATGTAAAACAATTCAAGAGCGCTGCTAGTACAGCCCCTTCTCCATAGGAAAAGGGAATAATCTCCTACTTCAATGCTCACAGCGGCATAGCAACCAATAGAGCAAAAGCCCACAGCTGCCCGTCCGTCCATCCATCCATCCATCCACACGTAGGTTAGCCAACACTGCAAATCTCTGCTAAAGCTTTGCTCTCTGGGACCTCCGCAAAGGGAGATGCTCTTCTGTGGAGATTATGTGCATGTCAAAATTATGGTATTTTATAGGAAAAAAGAATGTCCTAGCTAGTATATTAGCTCTACATTCTGAACTAATGTCAGCAGCCAAGACGTAAATACAACTCAGGATGTGGCTGCTTCCCAATTAGCTAGCTTGTAAAGGCAGCCCTGCTCCCTGCAGATCATGTTCCAGTTGTTCAGAAGGCACTCAGGCCCTGGGAAGCTTGTCACGTCACGTTCAAGTGAGTTAAGAAGATGAAAAGCGTATGCAATATTTAGGACTGATCCTGTGTCATCACAAAGTCTGTATGACATCTGCTGTAGCCATAATTCAGCTGCTTCCTCTGATAAGCATGGTTTATGTTGGCAGCTTTCTGTTGTCATTCCAGGCTCTGCACTGTTCCCTTGTTAGCTGCCTGATAGCCAGGTCATTTGCTCCCCTCTGTGCTTTTCACGTGTCAAGGCACACTGACACAAACATGACATGAGAAAGAGGACTGCAAGGGGATGGGAAAAAGAGGGGAAACCTCTTCTTGGCCTGTGGGTGGGTGTTCCTCAGTGTGGAGCCTGGGGGTGGATTAAATAGCCTGGCTGAGGGAGGTCTAGGGCACATTCTTCATGCATCTTGAGCGATACGCTCTGGGAATAAAAGCAAGCATTGTTGGGAGATGTCTTTAAACCATCCCATTGCACTTGAATGTACATAAGAGTTTCCTTTAAGACATAAACAATTTCTTCCCTCTCCAAGCTTCAAAATGGCTGTTCCTTTCCTGGATGCAGCTAAACCTCCCTTTTCTCTCTGGCAGACATGGGACTACGCTCTGCGCAAGATGATTACTACAGATAATACAGGACAAAAAGAAATTCATAGCTCTCCTGTTCTTCTCCTCAGAAAAGAAAACCACTTAAGGTAGGCTCCAGCACCTGCAATCGAACTCGTCACCTCTGGTCCTAGACTCCAGCCTGCATCAGGCACGATCCACACCACATAAAGCCCACGGTAATGCAACCCCACAGGAGTGTCTGGCTGTAGCTCTCTCACTATCAAGTTTCTGGTGCGTATGCATGTGATATTGGATTATGAAGGAGTGAGGAGTATTTTTCCCTTTGAGTTTAGGCCTGCAAAAACTTAACTTCCGACTTTATGCTTACCAGCTGAGCTGCAAAGCAAGCTCTACATCTGCTGTGAAAGGTTTGCAGGATTAGAGCCTACGCTGAACCATGTTGCTCTTCAGAATAATCTGTCTTTTCTCCTGGCCATATTAGTCTCATTTCCTTCAACTATCTGTTTCCTTCCACTGCCAAGATCCTCACAGACTTATCTTTTAGGTAGATCATCCTTGGTGTCAAAGTTGGTTGACCAGCCATTTGCTGTTCCAGCAGATGTTTTTACCTTTTATAAGACTCTATAGAACCAATGTCCATGCGTTTCTAAACAGGAAACTGTTTTTAAAGCAAGGTTTGCTAAATTCTTATGATTTTCAGCAACTGCCTTGGCTAAGCAACGTTGTGTTCCACGATGCTAGTTTCTCTTTTTTGTATATGGCTTGAATGATACTTAAAGCTGTGCATATTTCAGTTCAAGGAAATAAACAATCATTTAGTAACGTAATACCTTTGTTTTAACAACAAGACATGAATGGCATCTTACTAAAATATGCTAAATAAATTACCCAAAGGAACTGGAATGGTGAAGTCCAGTACATTTTCCTCTCTTTACTCTCATTTCAGAGATTACCTATTTAAGTGTGTAGACAGTTCGGAGGTCATTCGCACTTCTGTCTATGGAGAATACCACATCGCAGTACCTCTCCGTGACCTGTCAGGACAGGCTCTTGGCATATTTGATATCAGCATGGGACACCACCAGAAATTACCACCTCTTGAAAACGAAGACCTGCAGAAAATGCTAAAGATGGCCCAAGCCGCCTGCTCTGAGATACTGAAGATGTCTTTAGACGAAACAGAACCAGCCTATGTACTGGGTATTGTGCCTACAGAGACAAGATAGTTATTTTAGGGGTGAAATTAGGAATCTCAGTAAAACCACATCTAAAGTATTATTCCTACAAGTATGGAAAGACAAATACAAACCTTTGGTACACATAAACTACTCCTGAGCAAGCCTAAGTGCTTAGCAGAGTACAGTTAAACAGAATGTTTAGATTTTGACTCCGGTTCAGAGGGTATTTTGTGCCCAAGTCCCAGTGAAATCAAAACTGTGAAGGAAGGTGCTTTGTTGCCTTCAGGGATCTAGCATGTGCTCGTCAGAACTGCCCCAACTAAGATCAAAAGAATTTGAATGTCACAGGTACAGAATTACCTGCATGCCTGAACCCTCCATGGTCTCAGGACCTCTGCTTGCCCCTGAGGCAAGTTTTATCTCCTTCTCAAGCACATACCCATTTTTTAAAGTTTCATAGGGTACTTGGGCTGTATACAAATCAATCAAAGAGTTAATCATAAAGAGGGCAGAGCCTTTCAGTCAATAACATAAGTCTTAAGTAGCAGATATTTCTGAGCAATTTCTTGAAAGGTTTGCTTTTGATTCCAGAGGCAGAACACATGGCAAATTTGAGGCATGCAGGGATTCTTCTGTTCCACCGGTTCATGCTGCAGGACTTGCGCGAGTGCGTCCAGAGACTCGATGCCGAGAGCTTTGCTGAAATAAAGAGCTATGTAGAACCGCCAGCTCTGGTACATAACATAGTTAAGGCTGTACTGTTGCTTTTCCATCCAAACTGGAAGGGCTCAGAGAAGACTGAGAACTGGAGTCAGTGTAAACTGGTGAGACTTCAAAATGCTGAGACTTTGTTTTCTGTTCTTCCTCCCTCAAGAAGATATAGTGGTTTTGCCAAGGGTGAATTGGCAGTGAAATAACTCATTACCTACAGATTTGCTATACGCTTGTCTTAACTATCTTAAATTCTGTAACCCTCTCTTATGTTTTTCACTGCTGCCTGACTCTTTTTGTTCTCTGCGTTGCAGAAACTTGATGACAATTTGATTCAGGAGATTTATTGCTTTGATCCAACTGCTGCATCTGTGCAAGTTCAAGCAGAGCTGCTGCTGGACTGCATCACTGGTAAGTATCATAAACTAATTGTGAGATTACAAGACACGGCTCAGCAATGAAACAGTGTCAGTGGCAACCTTCAGCTGAGTGCTTATGTCAGAAATCAACTTTGATTTCACAATAGATTAAACAACACATAAAGGGTCCTAAATATCTGCAGCCTTTTTTGGTCAATAAAAGTCACCTTGTTAAATTTAGAATCAAAATTCACTGCCTTAAGGAAAGAGGAGCAGATCAGCTTTGAAACCTACCAGAACAAGTGAGCTCATTGTAAGCCTCCAGATAAACGTACTAAGAATGGTGGTTCTTTTGGCAAGTAATATGTAAAGACATATTAAGAATTATGATTCTTTTGGGAAATAAATCTACTTCAGACCTCCATGCCCTGCCCTATGGACTGACCCAGCTCCAAACAGCAACATGATTGTGGGAGGACAGTGTGAGCCCTCCTCTTTGTAAACACCATTTGCCAGGTACTGAATACGCTCACTGGCCATGTACAGGAGCTGCTTTTCAGTCTGTCTTTCTCTTCTTTAATGAATGCCGGCTTTTTTGGTGCCAGGGTACTCAGGAGGCTATTATTATTTGCTCTTGTGGAGATCTCTCCCTTGATGATCTAAGGCCAGCCTGTTAAAAATGAAATGTGGACAAGACTTGTTAATTTAGCTGGGGACATTTATCAACAATACCCTGCTTACTGATAAACAGTGAACACTTAATGCAGTCATAGTTCCTTTTCATGTGTTCTCCTCATATATAGATATACATATATATATATATGTATAAATAAAACGGATTCACTGGAAAGAATGAAGCAGGTCTAGAGCATCCAGTCTTCCTCCAGTTAGGGACGCAGATGTAACTCAAAAGAGTATTGCTTTGGCAGACTGCTGGTATGCTACAAAAGGTTGGTTTCCCAGGATGAGCAGTGTCAGATCAGTGGTGTGAACACAGGTGTAACTCAAAATTAGAGGACTTGCTTTAAAACGAACATCAGGTAATGCCTGTATATTCCATATACATGTGCTGTATACAGAGCAGAGCACAAAACAACCTACACTCTATCGAGAGAGTGACATTTAATGGTGTGATTCTGTGGTGACTTTCAATAGCATTTAGTAAAAGAGCTTTGAAGGATAATTACTCTTAAATCAAATCTGAGCTTGGGAAAAAAGCACTTTTCTCTTTACATTTTTAATTATCAAATGTTTAGCATTAAAATATAGCAGAGCACTGTGTACAACAGGGGACCTACCACAATACAAAATAACTAATAAAAAGGCAGCATCCCTATGCTTGACCAGTCACTGTCACAATAATGCTGTGTGCTTCTCAAAGCATCACCATTTCCCAGGGTGGGATTACTGGACTCAGGGAGAGCTCCACTGACGGGACGATCTTTGCTTCAGTCTCGTAGTGACACGGGTCTCAGTTTTGACTTGGCTTTTGGCGTTACAGCTCTTCTTTGTTTCAGGTGTACCCAGAGCGGCGGTGCGGCAGCACGGCTCAGTTCTACCTGTACCACTGGGTACGGACCTGCCTCTCACTAGCAGCCATCACAAGGAGCCTACGCAGTGAAAAAACTCCGTCTTTAGCCCCTTTTGGCATCCAGTTCTGCTGTGCCTCCAATTAATTCCTCATCCAACCTTAGTGATTCTGGTATTTGACATCTTTTATTAAATTAACTGTTGCTTTTTTATTTTTTATGCATAGCTACTAAGTATTTGTTGTTAAGATGTAGGAAGCCTGTTAGGGATTATGAAGAAAAAGCAATAAAAACATGAAAGGAAACAATTTTGCTAGTATATCTACTAAACTTCAAAAGCTTGATTAAAGTTGTGTTTTTTTTTAATTAATTCTGATGAGAGAAAGAGGGGCAGGGATGAGTTTATGACTACCAAGCTACAATGCTCATAAATAGTACAGCAAAAATTTTCAAGATGCCATCTTTTTAAATTACTTTTTAGGAATAATTTCAGTAAAGGTTGTTAACCAGCATTTTGTCAAGCTCTTCTGAATGTGTTGCAGAAAAGCCCCACACTTTTAATATAGCAAAAAAAAAAAAGGTTTCCTATTGGGATAAAGCTCAAGATTACGGCCAACTGCACTGTCGGCAGCAAGATTTCATCTTTCCAATAACGTTTCTTTTGGCGGAATCACTTTTTTAATAAAATTTTGGGAAATTAAACTCCTCTTTCTTCCTTTAGTCGGCAACAAGCGACGTCTCCAGGTAGGCGATGCCTGACGGGGTCAGGGTGGCTTCTCACCCCTCCCGGGGGACCGGCG